TCCGACAGAAGGTTGGTGAATAGGAGTGAGGGGCACAGAGTGGGTGTTTCTTGTGAAGGGAGTCACAAGAGGGGCTGGATTTCAGCCAGGAGAGGCTGAAAGCCCACGTAGGACGAGCCTGTCACTTTAGCTAAGGTGAGCTGAGTTTCTGCAAAGCAGCTGCCAAGAGCACGGGGAGCAATGCAAACCCCTCCCACCATGGGACGTTTCTTCGTTTGGTTTTCTCTGGTACTGTGAAAAGAGTCAAATATTCACCCTGCTCTCCCACCCCTTCCGACACGATTGCTATTAGTGGCACAGACCTTGCTCTTTGCTCGCGTTTTATCACGTTTGCATCAGGGCACGGGAAAGTTCAGGCTCACGCTGGGAAGCACACGCTTGGATGAGGATGACGCCACCGTGATGTGGCAGGGCATCAACAGCCCTCGGGGTGCTTGGCGTTGAGGACTATTCACTGGAACTACTGGCATGCCGAGAAAAGGTGTGTCTGTTCCACTGCCCCACTCCTCTGCCTGGACACGCCTGCGTGGAGCTGGTATGCAGGGACCCAGCTCTGTGTTCTCGGTGGCTGCTTTCAGGAAACCCGAGTGGTCAGGCTTGTTCTGACCCATAAGGATCTTGCCACACCCATGCAGAGAGTGCTGCCCCATTGCTAGAGAGGAGCAGGACTGAGACTCCCAGCTTTCGATCTTAGTCAGTGACTCGGTTTCCCCAGCTCTAAAATGGGGCTGGTAATACATGGCTGAGATCATGTGTTTCGCAGGTGTGGGATTTCATAGACAGCTATAAAACAAAGTCGATTGTATGGGAGGTTGCAGGGTACTTTGAAAGCCTGAAAAGACAGTAGTGAAATGCTTATTTTACTATGTATTGCTTTGGAGTGATTGAAAACACTTCTTTAAAGGACAAGCATCATATCTGTGTGTATAACAGTGTGTATAATATCCATACACACACACACAGAGTTTTTACGTACAAATCCTTTAAGCTCATATCTACTAGAAAATGCCTTTGCCTTCCTATTTTCTTCTCATCCTATATACTGCCTGCTTGAAAAGTCTCAGGTTGGTCAGAAGTTTTACTATTTTCCTTGAGGTTACCAACCTAACCCCAAGATAAATCCTAGGGATTTGTGACCATAAGAACATGGCTGGATGGTGCACTACAGCTGACTTGCATTGCTCTGTAACCCATGTGCAAGGAGCACTGCTCTGGAGATGAAGAGGCAACAGATGGTGGTGTATGAAGCTGGCAAATGGAGTACATACAACCAGGGGGGAGGAGTGGGAAAGGCTGGGCAGACAAGCCCACAGAATCTTTCACAGCAGCAGAGGAGATCTTAGGGAAACCTCGCCTGAAACTCTCTGCCACTTCTGGCTCCTGAACTGTGCCTGTCAGAAAATCCCCTGACTATGAACATGACTGCTGGCTTGGAGGTAGGTCCATATTTCATGCATGAATGTGCAGCATCACCATTTCTCTCTTGCTCAAGGCCCTCTGTTACACTATATATTAGACAGTGCTCACAGAACTGCAACCTCATTGGGGTGTTGCTGCAAGAATGATTTTGTAGGTAGACGGATGAAAACCAGCTATGATCCTCCTAAGAGTGATGATAGTTTCTATCACTGTCTGTAGTATAATGGCTTCCCTTTACCAGACAGCCCAGACCACCTTGTATTAATGAGTAATAAAATAATCGACCCATAGTGCATTCATCTCTTAACTGGGAGTGTGTGTAGATGAGGTGATAAGGGTGCTACATTAATGAAGTTTTGCTGCATTGATACCACCCAGTTTAAGAGTGCTACCAAGTGCTCTGATAATTAGGTATTAAGATACCCTAATGCTTTTGTTAGTGTCAAAGTACTGCAAATGTTAGGTTAGCCAAGACAACTAGATACAGTTAGCATACATAGTCAGCCAGATTTTAGGCTATACAAAGCCATCCTGAGAGGTAATTTTGGGAGAGCTCTTTTCTGAAGCTGAGGGGACATCTGTTGTGCTAAGCTGGGAAAGAAACTGCTACAGACTTGGCTTCACAGAGATGCTGACTTGTTTTATTTCAAGAGTATTAAATGTGCACTTTGCCATTTTCTACTGAATAAGATTCTTGGATTCTTTCTGTATTTATAAGAACTCCACTAGTTACCACAGGAGTGTTTGGAGACATGGGACTAAAGAAGGACCAAATTTTGGATTGGCCTCTCTGTCAGGTAAAAATCACAAACCATCTTCAATGTGTTGCATGCTCTGGAGCACTCTTATACCAGGGAAAACTGGAGGATCCTGACCTGCTCTGCCACAGAGGCCAGGATGTTCCTGAGCCCTGAGCTAAATGTGAATGACTGGTGTGAGGCCACTTCCCATCCCTGTCCCCCGGTGACTCATGGCCAGGGAAGCACTGGCATCCTGCTCTAGGAAGGGTCACTCACCTGCCCTGCCCTGCAGGGAGGGTGAACACAGGGATGTGGATGGTGCTGGGACTGAAACATGAATTGCTGGGCATGCGGAAAATAAACAAAACTTTGCCAGGACTGCCATGACAGTGTGGAGAGATGGAGCAAAGCACAGGCAGCACTGCCATCTGGACATGCTGCCTTCAGCCCTTGGTAGGGTTTGCTCCTTGTGTCAACAAGCATGAAAATCTGATAAGCTAAACTGGAAGGACAGAGCATGGATGTGCCCATTACAAAAGCATAGAAACACCACAGTGGCTATTACTGTGGTCCTGCTGGGAGTTCCTCCTTTCTATTTTGGTCATGTTTGTATTGGGCTCATTTTCACCATGCAGCAAATAAAGAAAAATGGCCCCATTCTCCTCAACTGAGCTTATTGTCTCTGCAAATGGTGCATATTTGGGTGCAGGACAGAAAGAGAAGTCAGTGAGATCCACCTGGCTATAATACATTTCCTGGTTAATTCAGGCTCTGCTTATATCAGACTCCACATTTGCCACCTCTAGCAGCTTAATTGTGTTTGTGGGAAGGCTCTCGGATTTTCCAGGTGTTTCCTGGACTCAACGCATCACTTTTTCTGAGTAACTACAAACAACAACTGGCTCAGATACTTTGTTTTGAAAACTGGTGCAGCCACAGGTTAATTAATACAGTGTGAGACAAGTATAGGAAGATGATGCATATCATCAGTACCTGTCTCCTATCAATGCAACCTATACATATGTGGCTAATGAAGTTATTACCGTTTATGGGATCTGTGTGGCCACTGACATGTCCCTGTGGGTCAGAAATACTGGAAACACAACTCTGTCCTTGTCACAGACAACCATGGAGTGAAGATGATAGGCTGGTTGTTTTTTGGGTTTTTTTTTTCCTTATATAGACATTTGGATACCAGAAACTCAGCAGAAGGCATCATACTCACATAACCACATCAAGACATGCAGCTGGCAGAGAAGGACAAAGAAAAGTTCCTCACTTGCAGGCTTCTAAGAATTAGGTAACAGACAGCAGAAAAGCTAAAGCAGCAGAGAGTCCTGCAGACCCTGGCTTTTTGACTTGGGACGTTTGTTCTCTACCTAGTGTCTTCCAAAGCCGGTGCTTAGGACATCTCCTGCCCTGTGACCTCTAAGGAACAGAGTGATCCTGGGATCAAGGCTAAAGATTGTTAACTCTGACAGTAAAACTGCCTCGTGATGGAATTGATAGGAAATGATAGGAATTGTACGGGTTATATATATTGTAAGAACAATAAACCTCCTATTGCTGTTGTATTTGGAAGGAAAACTCGGAGAAGAGAATGCAAGAGTTGAGCATCTCTGTAAGAGCACCGACTGGCTCCATCTAGAGGTGACAGCTGAGATGACAGACATCATCAGCTCGGGCAAGCAGATCATAAGCAGGTCTGAAAACACAGTGAACGTCTGCTCCTCAGCCCTCTGTTTAAGACTTGCCCACTAAAGGCAGGTCTCCAGTCTTTTATGGATTCTCTTCTAAAAAATAAACATCACTGAGGATGTGACTGTTTCTCTGCATTTATAACTTTGGGATGGGAGGAATGTCTAGTCATGCCCCTGGAAGGTGCCCTGGAGCCCTGAGACGTTTCTCAGTGCTGTGTGAGAGCAGGCATTGAATAAGAAACCTCCTTACAGATGTCCTTCAATCCCCAGCAAACTTTGTGGCCCCTGTTCTCCCAGGGAATCCTGCAGGAAAACAAGATTGCAATGGCAGTAAGTGAGCAGGCAAATTCCAACAACAACAACAAAATCCCCCCCAGATGCCCAAATGGCACTGACTTGTAAGGTTTGAGATTCCCACACGGGAGGTTGACTCAAGCCATGAGCAAACTGAAGTCCAGGGCATGAACAGTATCTAGACTTGGCTTAAATGCAGAATACATAGCTCCATATCTGAGCAAGGATGGTTGTTGATGTTGGCTCTGAAGATCCGTGACCGCTACATTTTCTCTTTCTAGTGACATTCCTTCATTGGACTAGGTCATCACTGCATTAGAGATCTACAGCAAGACAGTTTATAGTTGCTCCCTGCTAAGGCATGAATCGTTGTGCAGGAGTTAACACGTGTGTGCACATGAAAACCCTTCTGTATATCCCTTAGCAGTGCTCAAAACCTCTGCCCTGAAGAACAAGTTTGGATTCTTTTATTTAATCCCTACTTTGCCAACACCTGCAATGATATCTGTTATCCTTGAAAGTCCAGGACTGCAGCATGCCACTCCTGCACAGTCCCATTTCTCTTCAGTCAGGCATGACAAGAGCTTTAACTGTGCGGGGCGGATTGGCTGCTGCAGCTCCCGTGGGTGCTCTCGCTCTCCTCTCGTCCCCATTGCTGGTGAGATTGCTCCCGTGGCCTTCACTGACGGATGGCATCTGCAGAAGTGAAGAGTTCCTACTGTTTCTAGCCACTGGAGGAGGGTGGTAGTGACCTGGGACACTGAGGCTCTGCCTCTACCCCAGCTTTGAGAAGGAAGGCTGGGGATTGTTTTTCTCACTCCTCTGGATGTGCTGAAGAGCTGCTGGGATGAAGTTTTTCCTCCAGTATGTGGGCTGTTTTTTAGCTTTTTTCTCTACTGGGTTTTTGATAGCATCTACCTGGACAGACTGCTGGATGGTGAATGCTGATGATTCCCTGGAGGTAAGAACAGGATGACAAGAGCCTGATCACCAGAACAAATATATCCAAGAGAGAGTTTGGTTCCTAGCATCATTACTCTTATGTATTTTTCTGTTGTTGTGCTCTATGAAAGTGGATTAAAATTAAATTAATTACTCTGGCAAGAGCAGGAGGAAAGTTGCAGTTTGTGTTACTCTTTCTGCCTGACTTGATTAGTCTGCTCTCAGGAAGTTCAGGAAAGATCTACAGGCTCTAGGTTTAAATGTGCATGCACTTGAGTACAGTTATCCTGCATCTCCAGCCTGCATGGATATTTTGGAGATATTTCTAGTTCTGCAGGTCAGACTTGTCAGTGGCAAAGTTCAGTGTGTTACACCTGTGATCTTCAAGTCTTTTTCTTAATGCCCATGGAACTATAGAGCTAGCAGAAATTTCTGGGGAGGCATAAATAATATGTTCCCTGGCACACTGAATACTTTATGAAATGAAGGCAAAACATCTTCCAAGATGGTTTGGCTGAATACATCAGGAAGAAACTTTTTGTTATCCAGCACAGATCGGAAGCCAGAAGAGCTCCTGTGCACTCAGTGATCACAATGTAACATTTAGCTGCATCACATCGAATGATAATTATCTGAGGAAAGAAGGATAAAACTGATTACAAGAAAAATATCTTTTTACTCTACACCAAAAGAAACAATGACAATCTGATTGCCAGTCCCATTCTGGAAGGGGGTTGTAGATGCTGAGGCGGTCATAGATCAAATACGGTGAAGTTGCTGTGTCTGCTCAGGGAGCCTCTCTGCAGGGAAAACTGTGTACCCACTGATGCTGTCTGGAATATCAGTCTTCATTTACCATCCTAATTTTGGAGATACTTTAGATTCACTTCAGGAAGGTGTGAATTGTCTGTAGTCAGCAGAAGATACCACGATACTCAGAAAAGCCAAATGGCAAGAAAAACAGAAGAGCAACTCCTGAGCAAAGAGAGTCCAGGAAAGAACCAGTCTGGTACCCTTGGGGCTATGTAACCTTGTCTTCTCGGCACAAAGGCACCTGCGAAGCGCTCCATTAACACCCAGCTCGGCTATTAGCAGCTACTACTCTCACATTCCTGCTCTGAGTGTGAATACTAAATAATGGAGCGAAACGCCCCCAGCCTTAATACCTGACCACTGATCTTCCTAATGGCCCTAATGACTCACTGCCTCTCTAACAGGGGCATGCGGGGAAACTGTCCCTGGCCAGAAAGGGGTGATTCAGGCACTTTCAACTTCAGGGGAAGGGAACTCCACCCTCTAGCATAGAAAGCCGTTTGTCTCTGGCACTGGTCCCCAGCAGCCCGGGAGCATGAAGCCCTTGCTTTGGTCCCGCTGGAGAGCAGCAGCCCGGGAGAAGGTGGCCAGGGAGCATCAAGAGCAGCAGCCTCCAGAGGGGCTACGGGTCCTCTCACCTCTCCTTCGGAAACAAGCAGGTTACAGCAACACGGAAAGTGGATTAAGCTGCTGCTGTACTCGTTGTGAGCATCAAGGCAAGGCTTGGTCAGTTTTTGCAGTAGTTTGTGCTGGAAAAACAACAGAATTGCCAAGGCTGGACAAGACCTTTGAGATCATCAAGTCCAGCCTACGACCTAACATCACCACATCAGCTAGATCATTTACTCTTGACACTTTTTAACCATAGACCTATAACAGTACAGCCTTCCCCTAGACCCTTAACCCTGGACCATTTAATCTAGACTCTTACGCCTCGACCCTTAAACCTTGACCTTGATCTGCTTCCCAACAAGCCCTGCATTGTGTACACAGTCCCTCCCTGCTGCAGGTGGGTTCAAAACATTACCACAACTGTTAGGCACTGCCTGTTTTACTTTCATGCTGGTCTTGTCATCATTGTATGTTGGCACCTTTTTACAGTGTGGTGAAGCACTGTGACTAACAACACCCACATGATTGTCTTCTGTGCTTTCCCCAGAGGGGAAGTGTGTGCTTGTTCTGTCATTTCTTTGTATTAGAATTATTTTAATATTAATTATACATTATGCATGGGCTATAATTATAAATATTACAGCCATTATGCAGTTTATGTTTTACATGCATACTTCTGTTAGGGAAAGCAGGTCGTGGCAATGTGTTTCATAATCAAAGTGGGAGATGAGGAGTTTGGCCATGATGCTTTGTCTCCTGGGGAGTCCTTGGCTGGGCCCAGGGAAGCTGGAGAAGATTTGCTGTGGGGGAGAAAGAGGTGATGGGGAATCAGTGCTACCAACAAGGTGCATGGGTGCAGCCACAGCATGGAGAAATCCCAGCCAGCCTTAGCTCCTCTCCTGTTTACAGCAGTGAGTTCCTGTGTGCCTGAGGGTCTGTGCTGTCTGGCAAAGGGCAGATGCCCAAGGGTGGTCTGGGAGCAGACTAACAACCAGAAGACCAAACGGTGCACAAAGCAGAGGGGAGCAAGGGAGGTTAAGAAGCAGATAACAGAAATCAGAGCAGTTCAGCCTTGGCTTAGGCCAGCCGCAGGTCCTCCTTTCGACTTCTGTTTCCATCCCTCCTGCACTAAGCAAGGATCCATTTGTTCCTGCTGCACAGGGATGGGCTGATCCCTGCTTCTGTCTGTGCTCTGCACTAGGAGCAGTAGGTGAGAACTGAAACATCTCAAGAAACACAAAACATTTACATTTTTTTTTCTAGTCTAAGAACAAGCTAGACCATGATTCCAAATGTTGCACCTTAAGACCTCTGTTTTGCTTGGAGGCTGCCAAAGCCTGGAATCATGCTGGACTGTTCATTCTCTTCTAAATTATTTATTTAGATGAAGACACTGCTTGTCAGATTTAAAGAACAATAGTAATGTCAATAAGGGAGGAAGTAACTGAGAATATTGGCTGAATACAGAGTAGCAGAAATAAGCCTATGGTAGTTTAGGAGGAGCATGAAATTCTATAAACACAAGTGGAACAAAATGTAATTTAATAAAAACATGTTAATCTTATGCACAGCGCCTGAATGGTGATGACTTAAGGCAGAAGAGGAGCTTCAGCTGGGTTAAGAGGACCACAGTAAAAACTTACATCTGACATAAAGTTGGAAAATTGTTTTGCACGACTGTTCTCTTGAAAAATGCAGAATCAATGAAACCAATTTTTTTCCAGCACTGCTTCCTTTTTTTTTTTTTTTTTTTTTTTTTTTTTGTGTATGTGTGTGATGCTTTTTTTGGTTAAACCTGCTCTGAGATACTCAGAAGTTGTAAACATTTTTCATCTTCATGAAGCAAAATGTGTAGTTTGTTTTCTTTCAAACATAAATAGCATATATATATATGTATATATATATATATATAATTTTTTTTTCCCCCAGCTTGAAGTAGTGAGCCATTTTTACTCACCTTTTACCCACAGTGCAGTATCACAGAGAAGCTGCACAATTTGTCTCGGACACTGTAGTGTGGAAAAAATATTGCAGACTTCAATACATCCTGAATGAGACTTCATTAAGTGGCTGAGATATGTTATTATCTGCTTTGTGATTTACACAGTGCACCAAAAAGGAATTGATTGCGTCATCCAGGCAAGCCCAGTCTCCCTCCCCTGAGTGAAACCCATTCCCAGGGAGAGTTTCTCCTTCCATTAACTGCAGCGGGTGTTGCTGGCAGCAGGCTGGAGTCTAAGGCTGCACTGACATTAACTCTGCTCCTTGTATGAGCAATTCCAGGAATGTTTTAGAGGTGCTTGTTGCCATATTTGCATCAGTAATGAAAATAACTCCCATATTAAAGTGATTTATGGAAGGCTGGGCTGGTAATGATATCTACGTCTTCAGGACAGCGGATTGGCTGTGATGCTGCTGCAACGTCTGCCCCAGGCTGGATGTCTCAGTGATGAGTCTGGCTCAGGCACGTGTGGTCCTATAGTCAGCAGCACACTGGGATCTCCAGGGCCAGGACCAATGCTGGCTGACTCTCATTTTCCAGCAGTGTTCACAGCTGAGCCATTTGGGGATAGGTCTCCACACACCTCTGGAGAGGGGCTCACGTCCACAAGTCTGCTCTGCAGCACAGTGCTCCTTTCCCATGCAACACCCACCTCTCTCTGCTGCTGCCTGGCCCCTGGTGCAACGCCTGCCCCGCCAGGCACACTCCCCTCTGATCTGCTCCTTGGCAGGAGGATGGTGTAAGAAGAGCATGGACAGCAAAGTTCAAAGTTGTCTGGTCCAAAGCCCTGAGCTCAGCCTAGACAAGCATTTGGCAAGGAGTGATCCAACCTGCTCTTAGATCTCTCCAGTCAGCCACCCCCCCAGCTCCTCCCAGAATTTTCCTTCAGAATTTTTATCCTTATCAATAGGAAACTTTTCTTTCCTAATGTCTAGTCTGAATGTCTTCTGCTCTAATTTAAAACCATTACAGAAAACAATGTAGTTTTTCTTCACCCATTTACTTCTTCTTCAAGTTAAACTATTCCAGTTTGCCATCAATGTAACTGGACCAGGATTCCACCAGGTTGGTGGTTTTATTAACTTCGGGTCTTCTTCCTCTGCTCCACCCACAGGTGAGTACAAAATGCCGTGGCCTGTGGTGGGAATGTGTCACAAATGTTTTTGATGGCATCCAAACCTGTGATGAGTACGACTCCATCTTCGCCGAGCACCCTGGTATGTAAGAGCCAAAGATATTTCTACATGTGGTGGGGACACTTGAGTGTAGACGAAAAGAACATCTGTTCTGCTCAGTGAGAGATTATTTTGGTGCACAAACATATTACAGCCATGTCTCTTTTCTTAGTGAGGTATTATTCCCAGGGGAAGCTGGAGAAATCTTTATCCCAGAAAAAAAATAAGAATGTTCTCATGGGATCTGATCCCATTACCCAGTCACATTTCCAATCCTTGTGCACTGGAACGACCTGCTTTTGTCCTGCAGTAAAGCTGGTGCTGACCAGAGCCATGATGATCACAGCAGACATCCTGGCAGGATTTGGATTTCTCTTCCTTGTTCTGGGACTCGACTGTGTGAAATTCCTTCCTGATGAGCCGCACATCAAGCTGCGCATCTGCCTGGTGGCTGGAGTCACGCTGCTCCTTGCAGGTATTCTCTGCTGCATCCCCACCCTGCAGGGCATCCTTCAGCTAAGAGGGAAGCTTTAAAGCCTTCTCTTGTTTGGGGAAGAGGATTCGGTGATTTTTTTAAGAGGGTAAACAAGGGGGAAGGATCTTGCTTTGCTTTATTTGTGCAATACAGATTCCTCTGTTCACCATTTGCCCCTAACACCACACAGTTGAGTTTATCTGCTTTCATTTTATGTATTGATCAAGTGACTTGACTCTGAGTTGACTGACTTCCATTTGCTGCTGTTCCACTCTGAAGAGGTCAGTGTTGTTGATAAGCCAAAGAGACCTAACTGCAGAAGGACCAGAAAGCACCCTGGCATCCTGGTTTGGTCCCTGACTCTGCCATGGATTGTGTGACCTTGGGCAAGTCACTTAGCCCAAAACCTCTGCAGCTGATCTCTAATAAAGGATAATAACACATCTGTCCCTCCTAGTAGATAAATACCTGGCTGAGGTGCTCTGCTGTTACAGCCAGTGGGAAAACTTTAACTGCAAAACTAGATCGACTGTCAACTATGTACCAAGTAACTCCATTTGATTTTATGCCAAATCAAGAATCTACTTCTGTTTCAGCATAAGAAGATTTAACACATAACTCACCCCAGCTACTGGGAGCACACATAAAACACTTTGAGAGGCTCTTTTAAACATCCCCCATCCACCTCCCAAAGTTTGCCTGAAAAAATGCTGTCAAAGTTCTGAAAGTCAAAACAGATTACACAATTAAATTCTTGAAGCAACTTTACAATAAGGTGATAAATGAGCTGAGAAGGGAGGAGTTTTCTGTCTTTTACTGCAGCAATCTGAGTGCTGCCAACCAGCACTGATGGTGCCTGTGAGTGCCAAGCTGTGAGGCACAGCATCTGCCTGACAGACCTCCTGCTGCTATCAGTAGGAACCAGGGTGAATCCACCAAAGTGACCGGGCTGAGACCGAATCAGGGCCAAAACCTGCTGCCTGAGGAAGTTCTTCCCATTCTGAAGTCTGACACAGCAGATAGCAGGCTTCAGGTCCAGATTTTATGTTTGTGATCTCCTCGTGGTCCCTCTGGGATCTCTGTGTGGCACCTCCCTCCTATCCTGCAGGTCTCCCAGGCATCACTGGCTCGGTGTGGTACGCTGTTGATGTCTACGTGGAGCGCTCCTCTCTGGTCTTCCACAACATCTTTCTGGGCATTCAGTACAAGTTTGGCTGGTCGTGTTGGCTTGGCATGGCGGGGTCACTCGGCTGTTTCTTATCTGGGGCCCTGCTCACCTGCTGCATGTACCTCTTCAGAGGTGAGGAACCCTGTCAGGGTTGAAACGCAGTTCAGAGGTAGAACCACTGCTCGGGATGTGCTACAGGCACACAGAGTGAGTAAAGTCCTTCAGGGGCATCTTTCAGGATTGTTGCACATCCCCAGCAGCCATATCCTCAGCTGTAAAATGAGAATAGTGTTATTTCAGCAGCTCTAGAAAGCACATCAAGGCCTTTAGGTGGGAGCTGATGTGTAAGGATGACATAAATGTATTATGTCATACCTTGAAATGCTACTTTCCCTGCATTTTGAGACTTTGCAGCTGAAAGTCATGAAGCAGTCATTAGTAGATCCTGTTTCTCTCCCTGTGCCTCACAGAGACCAGCTCTGGAAGACTCCACTCTTCTTACTCCTTGAGGAAAGGCTACTACTCAGCTGGGACAATCGTATCGAACGTGCATTTGCCATCCTCACAAACAGCTACGGCCAAAATGTATGCAGTGGACACAAGAGTGTGAGGAGGAGGTAAGCACTCCAGAAAGAGCTCTACTTTTATTTGTAGTGGATTGAGCAGAGACCCAAGCTCCTGTGGTTGTGATACAGATGCAAAGTTAAATTTCAAGGATGTACTGTATTCTACAATGTTTTCATTATGAGAGCTTAAAAAAAACAACACCTTCCTTCAAGAAAGTTATCTCTGAGAAGTTCTTGCTTTAGGGATTCCTGTTGTCTTGAGTGCTGAGGCTGCTTGCATAACCATGGACTGAAATAACCAGCACGAAGTGACATAAATCTCCTGGACCAGACTCCAGTGTTCAGCATAAAGATCTCCAGACTGTTAAATGGATCTGTTCTGTGTCTGGCAACGTGTCGACAGAACAGACAAAGCAGAAAATACAGGCAAAGAGAGGGCTCTACTGTCTGGCCAACATCTGGACCCCATGCATCCAGTGTTGGGGTCTGCTCACCTTAAAGGCAGCTGAAGAGTTCAGCAGAAGATCAAATGCTGTGCTAAATGCCTGCCCCTCTCTTTGGCCCATGAGCCTTTGCATTGAGGAAACACTGCAAATTCAGGTGCATTCTTCCCTGCAAAATACAGTCCTACTCAGTAGGTGTTACAATGTACATTATGGATGTTCTAGACTCACTGAGACCTGGAAATTGTCAGCTTCTTTCTGCTTAGTAAAAATTTTGCCTGGAAAAAGACAAAATGAGTGAAGACCCTAGATCTGACATTGTGCATGATAATATGTCTATAAAAGCTAGAAAATAGCATAAACAATACTAAAATCTATGGTCTCTTTCTGCCAAAAAAAAATCAATCAATTTCAGGACTCCTGTCCCCTGCTGCCACAGGCTGGATAAGGCTAAAGTATCTATCAGCCATGTCTAAACTAGGGTTGGTGAAAAATCCCAGTGTGGGTTAACACATTCCCTGGGGTTGGATGAAGAAGTGCTGACAGCTCTTCCACACCTTTGAAGGAAAGAGAAGCTGAGACACAGTTTTCTTAGGGTGGGTAGGAACTGCCCAAATCCAGTCCAAGTGCACTACAGAGAAATTCCTCTTAGGAAGAATGGAGAAACAGCAGAGGAGTCTCAGGCTTCACCAGAATTAAACTTCCTCCACCCAGTGCTTGGTGGGGAGACTGGATGGGGAAACTCCCTTCCTCCTTCCAGGCAATATGAGATGAAGCCTTACGTTATGAGAGCTAAAGGGAGACAGGATGGCTGTGGATGGAGTGGGCTGTGTCCCAAAAGGTAGCTGTGATGGAAGATAAGATGCTGAATCCTCTCACAAATTCTCCCCATAAGCAGCATCTTGTGCTGCAGCACAGAACTGACCAGCAGTGGCAAAACAGAACCCGGTCCTGACATGGCTCCTAGTCAACCAACACTCAGGCTCTGGGACAGACGGGACAACAGCAGGTCCATATGGCCTTGCTACAGGCTTAAGTACCTCCCCAAGGCTCAGACCATAATGTAACCACCTCAGCAAGAGCCTCTGGGGCAGTGGTGCTGTCTGGGAGAGGGAGGCTTCGTGCCTGCTGAGTTCACGCTGTGCTGGTTGGCAGACGTTTCTGTGAGCCAAACCAAAAGCTACTGATTGCCAACAGAAGAGTTATGTTGAACAGATGTACACACAGTAGGAGAAGTGTCAGAGGCTCTTTTACAAAGTCCTGAGAGACGAGGAGTACAAGAGTTAGGATCAATGTGGTGAATTCATGGATTATACCAAGAGTGCACAAAGAGATCTGAAGGTGATAGGAGTTGCTGCCGGTTACTGGGGAAGCTGCAACCTGAGATATTTTTTTTTCCTTTTTAAACTTTTCACAGTCATGTCTAAAACATGTATTTGCTGTGGTGCATGTGAGCTGGAACTGGTATGCTTTGCTGGGGGAGGGAAGCACCAGGGATATTTGCGGGCCTGGTTTCTGGACTGTGCCTCTGCTCCTCGGGAGAGAAGAAGGGAGGAGAAGGAGGGTGATCCCACCGTGGAGCTGTGCTCAACTCCTGCTCCAGCACTCACATCCCTGCTCCTCTCTAGGGAGGCCAAGGCTGCCTCAGGCTCCTGAGGGAGGAGAGATGCCTCAACACCTTTGGCTGCCCCAGCCTGACTCAGCCAGCCCAGAGAGGTTCCTCAGGAGGAGGGACTGAGCAAAGACATCATCACTTGGACCAAAATCCTGAACCAAATCCTTCTCAGACTTTGCAGCCAGGGTGTTAGCCCTCCTCACTAGTATTCAGGGACACCTGCCAGCCTCTTGTTGCTATTTTCTATAGCTTCTCCTCAGTCAAGAAGATTATCCCTTGCTAGGAAGATTTATTTCTTGTTTAATAGTGGAGAGATAGTTTGGGATCACCTGTGAATGCAGGTATAATTGCAGATCTCAGACCATTGACTTTTCCTGTTCTTTTTCTTCTGCAAGGTATAGTTGAGGAGACTTCTGGGCCTTTGTCCTAATGGTCTTCAGCTTATTTTAAGGTGGTGGGAAGTGTTCCGTGACTTGCAATGTATGGGTCACATCACAGTGGCCCAGTGGACACTTTAGAATTAATTGTGCATTCCCTGGTCAGGGGTGAATGTAGAAGACTGGTCTGATCCATCCCTCTAGGTCTGTGCTCCTGCTTGCGGTACACAAATAAAGCAAACAAATACCACAAATACTACCTTAACTCAGAGTGTATCACACACAAGTACACATGTATACCAATAATGCTGCATAAATACTTGTGAGCTTTCTTCCAGTGTCTATGTAGGATAAGGGTTAATTCTTTAACTGTGCTCCAGTTCTAGCCATGCTCTATGATAGCTTTTGGGGATCTATCTCCTGCACAAGAGGACAAGGGAAAGGTCACAACAACCCTTAGGTTTGCCACATTAATGTTTTGTAACCAGTCTAATGCTGCATTGCTTCATTATTCCAATCCTCCTGACAGTCTATCTGATGTTTTGATCAGTTGTTCATATTTAATTGTTATTTCACTGTTTGATTTAATTCTGACTTTGATTTCATGACTGCAGTATTCACTCCTCATTAGCTCATGACCACACCAGGATTCAGATCTGTTTTAGTTTGGTTTTTTATTCATTAGCAAGAAACCTACCAGAAAGTGTACAGGACTTATTTTTTCTTTCAAAATCACAACCAATGCCTAGGGCTAAAGATGTGGTGGGTGAGGTCAGGTGTTAAGGTATTTCCTTAACACCTACCTACAGCCTGTGCAGCAGCAGCTGGCTGTGGGGGAGTGGTGTCAGGTATGACAACAGACTGACTCTGCCTTCCTGATGACCATTGATGGCTTTCCATGGCTCTTTGTTTAAAGGCAATTTCCAGCTGAGGTCCAACATTTGATCCTTTAGTGTCAACAGCTGTTTAACCTTCTCCAGAATTTCACTAACTTCCAAGGAGTATGTTTGGACATCTCATCCTAGCGTACAGGCAGAGTCAGGGACTCAGTTGAGACCTGGGACTCTCAGGTTTCCTCCCTGCTATGCTTTCCCCGTGGTGTCTCTTTGACCTTGGGGCTCCTCATTGCCCTCTCCACTGATGACACACAGCTCCGTGCAGCCTACCAGGGCTCCTGCTAGTTACAGTTTATGGAAAATAGCAAAGTCTTATAGATAAGCTCTTTGCTGAGTTGATTTCATGATTTCCCAACTCTGACATACACAAGTGAGAGTATAAAACACTGACATCTGCAGTGACTCTCCTCTTTTGCATGCAATGTTTTGTCCTCTCGCTACTTCAATCAGCCTTGTTCATAAGGGCTCTTAATGACTGCTGCTCTAATTAGGACTCACTGTGACCTTGTGAACTAGACTATTTCCTACTACAGCTGCAGGAATATTTCCCAAATTTTGTGTTCGCCTCCTTTTTACACACACTGTAATGTGATTTTAGTGTGAATTCATTAGGTTTGAATAATTACTTTCATTAGATAAGAATGTTACTTAAAAATCTGTCTTTCTTACATGTTGTAACATTAGTGAGATCTAATAAATGCAGTTGCCTCTGAGTGTCATGTTTCTCTAACCCATGTCCGAGTTTTGCCCAGAAAGGTGCTTTGCCAGGTGACTTGATCTGACTCCTGTAAGGGAAATCACTGCTCTCCTGCAAGGACACACAAAAGGCAGCAGCACAAACAGGACCAGCCTTTCGGAAAGTGGGGTGTGATTTCGGAGGCTGTCAAAACCCTTTCCAATAGCTACAGACCCCAGACCCCAGTGCACACCTGCAGCAATGTCTCCTTAACAGCCGTAGGCTTTATTCCCAGTTTAGACACATCTACCTATAATTTTACAAACCTTCCTAGAGAGAAAAGTAAAAATCCACCAAGAAAGCAAGTTTTTCTCTCTCAGCTAGGGCTGGACCCCCACACTTTGCTTTCTGCACCTCTTAAGTATAGTGAGCAAGCTATTAGAGACCAAAATACTGTCCAAGCACTGTCACAGGCAGTGGAGAACAATTTTCTCCCAGTGGCTCTTGAGTCCCTGCTGTAAGGTGCCTTTGAGCAAGACTTGTGTCATCTAGTGACCCAAAGAGATGGAGCATCTCTCCTCAGCCCCATCCTCTTCCTCCCTGCACAAAAGCTTTTAATCCATAAGCCAAATGATGGTCAAAAATAGACTAATGTGCATTTCTATTATTTTCCAGTCTTTTGTGTGCAGCTCTCCTGGCAGCCCTGACTGATCCCCTGTTGTGACTCAGCTGCCTTTAGTTTTGCTCTGTTTTGCCTAAGAGCCAGTTTATGACTTTATTATTCAGCTCTTGATGTACGGAGGTGAAAGTCCAGCCTTGTGCCTCACCCAGTTCCCTTTGTCTTTTGCTTCCAGATGGTCACCAAGCAATTAGCTCCTCTGCACCGTTCCCATTTCTTCCTCTCAAGACTTACTGACATCGATTTCCCCCACAAATATACCTGCCTTCTAGTGTTTTCTGGGTTTTTCTAGAGCAGTTTGCCCTTTCTTCTCAAGGTCAGCAGG